TGTCTGTCTGTCTGTCTGTCTGTCTGTCTGTCTGTCTGTCTGTCTGTCTGTCTGTCTGTCTGTCTGTCTGTCTGTCTGTCTGTCTGTCTGTCTATCTATCTATCTATCTATCTATCTATATATAGTGCTGTATGAATGGGTAAATTAATGTAGACCTCCGTTACTCCTTACCTGCCTCTGTAGTCCCACCAGCCAACAAGGCCCAATAGGACTTCGTCTTTATCTTGACAGCCTCCCTAACTTGGAGTGTCCACCACCAATTTCGTGGATGGCCACCGTGAGAAGCACTGACAACCCCTTGGCCACAGCTCAAGGCAGCTACTTCAACAAGTGAGGTGCAGAACATGGCCCTCTCGGACTCGATGTATCCCGCCTTAGCTGGGATGCAGTTACAGCTCTCCCAGAGGTGTGAGTTGAAAATCTTTCTGACGGGTTCTTCTGCCAGGCATTTCCAGCAAACTCTCACATGTTTGCGTCTACCAGGTCTATTCGGCATCTTCCCTCGACAGTTGATCCAACTCACTACCAGGTGGTGATCAGCTGACAGCTCAGCTCCTCTCTTCACCTGCGTGACCAAAAAAAAAAATAAAAAAAAAATAGTGGCAAATCAGATGACTGAACTTCAAAGTCAATCATCGATCTACGACTTAGGGTGTCCTGTTGCCAAGTGCACTCATGGACGCCCTTATGTTAGAACATGGTGTTTGTGATTGACAAACCATGACTAGCGCATAAGTCCAACAACAAAACACCACTTGGATTCAGATCAGAGAGGCCGTTCCTCTGAATCACGCCCCTCCAGGTCACACTGTCATTACCCACATGTGCATTGAAGTCCCCAAGCAGAATAAAGGAGTCCCCAGCTGGTGCACCTTCCAGCTCCCCTGCTAAGGACTCCAAGAAAGTCGGATATTCTGAACTGCCATTGGCAGGTAGGCACAAACATCAATCAAAGCCTGTCCCCACACCTGAAGGCACAGGGAAGGTACCCTCTCATCTACGAGAGAAAACTTCAAAACACAGGCACCAAGTCAGGGGGCTAAGAGTAGACCCACAACTGCTCTGTGCCTCTCACTGTGGGCAAGTCCAGAGTGGAATACGCTCTGGCCGTTATCAAGAAGATTGGTTCTGGGGTCCATGCTGTGCATCGAGGTGAGCCTAACTATAAATAGTTGGTATCTCCTAACCTCACACACAAGCTCAGGCTTCTTCCCCAACAGAGTGTTACATTCCATGTCCCAAGAGCCAGCTTTGGTAAGCCAGGGTCAGAGCACCAAGGCCCCTGCCTTTGGCCACTACCCATGGCGTCATGTACCCGACTTGTATGGCCCCTCCTGCAGGTGCTCGGCCCATAGGAAGGCAAGCCCATGCTGCTTGTTTGGGTTGAGCCTAACC